GCGGCAGAGCATCTATCTTAATCAACAACCGTATGCAATTGCAATGTTTTATCACATGCAAAATTATATATTATGATTTCTTTTTATTTTAATCTACAATTATAACCTAAAATCTTCATACGATAAATTTGTAAATGGTTTTTTACTATACATGGGTAGCCGACCGTCCTAGAAGAGGACCATCTATACCGACCGATAATTCAATGATTTTGAACAAGGTAAGATGGATGTCGTTAATGACCAATTAATACACTTGTTGACCATATCAGTGAGAAATATACGATATTTATGAGTGGTTAGCAGGTATATTATTAAATATTAATAGTTTGATTGTCGTATCAAATATGAATATACAACATTATTGCTATATCCAATATGAATTAATTAGCTTGAGTGTCATAAGCCCTATAAATATAGGGTTAATGTCCAGGTAAAGACATCTTAATCTATTACAATAAAATATAAACTTCTTTATAAAACATATCTGACTTGAGTGTCTTAACAACTCATCAAAATGGATTGCATTCTCGGAGAGGATTGAAGATCAAAAGAGAACAGAGTAAGAAAGGACGACCGACCTTCGGACCAATTCTATCGAAACAGTTTTATTCAGTTTAATTTAATCAGGGATTTAAATTTATAATTCCTCGTATATTTATATATTTTTGTTTTGTTTAGTTTAGATAATAAAAATAACATTTTAACTATTAATAGAATCCATATATTCCTGACGCTTTTTGAGAGTGGACATGCTCTGCTAAGCTAATCATCCGTTTCAGCTTGACACTAACACTAATTATCTAATTTTTTTAGTGATTAAGTTATTATTTTTTAAATAACATTATAATTAATACTTAAATACACCAAATAACTATAGTTTTTTAAACAACTAAAAGTATTTTACATTACTCATTCACAAACCAGCATGGTTAACTTTGTAAGAAAAAATATCATATTAAAAATTACTTTAAAGATTCAGCCACTGGTCATAGCAATAGTTTGTCCGAATGTGACAAGTAGAAAAAGTAATATATAGTTGAACAATACCGGGTAACCTTCGTACTGTTGGAAATCCAAGTGTAAGTTTTAAATTGAATAAAAAGAAAAAAATAGAATATTATATAAAGATAAAAAACACATTAATTCATTGTTTTAAGGTTTTTAATAATAATGGTGTCAATCTCTTATATAATTTTTGAGTTAATATCTCAATGGTGTGTGTGAATCCCTCTTTGATAGACCCAACACATCAAATCTTCATATAAGAGAAAAACATTTATTCTCTAATTAATTATTAATCAATTTAGATATTTGTTTATTTATTTTAGTCAAAATCTTAATAGATAATGTTTGTGATTAATTTAAAATTTAATTCAAAAATTAATTATAATTTTTTATTCATAATAGAAATTATTTTACATATCAATCATTTTTACATATAAATTAGTATCTCAAAACTAGTTATTATAGCAATTAATTATTTTGTTTTTAAATTTGATTATTATTTAAAAATTAGTGGATGTATAAAAACTTAAAAACTATTAAAAATATATAAAAAAGAGTTATAGAAACCTACAAATATCTCGAATGTATAACTATCAATATGTTTAAAACACTCCAAGCAAGCATGTTATAATACACTACAAGATTAAAAAGATATAACCTTTTATTCAGAGATTCAATTTAAGTAAATAAAATGTTTGTTTTAAATAATTTTAGGTGTGGCAAATTTCAGTTGGAGATTCGGTTCAATAATTTTCTCAAAATTAACTTTTAAAGAAGGTAAACATCAACTAATTAATTTGTGAGATGGTAACTTTTTTTTACTCCATTTAACATTAAAATTATTTAGTTGGAAATTACCAGAGTGACAATTTATTAAAATACACAACACTAGAATCATTTTCATTAAATATTCATGAACAACAAATTTATATTTATTTTTATGTTGAGAATTAAAGTGTGAGTTTAAATTTTATATTGAATAGAGATAAGAAAGTTAAACTAATGAGTAAATTTTTTATGGGTTTGTTTTGGTGATGTTGTGGTGTTATCTCTTTTGTGATTGAGATGAAAGTTGCAATAAAAGAAAAGAAAGAAATATGCACAACAACATAGAGACTTTTATTAGTAAGTAATTATTTGTAGCCAATTGCAAACTATGACCTTTAATAAATTTTCAAATCACACTCCCTTTTCCGTCAATGTATCCTATATATTATTCTCTTAATTTTTTGTTTTTTTATTCAAAAGGTTTGAATTTAAGACTTATATACTTATAGAAATTGAATTATATGTTTTTGCTGGTTAGGATGTATTATTTGAGTTGTATGTTTTTTATTGTTAGTTCAAGTGAAAAATATATTTAAAATACGTGAGATTTAAAACAAAATTGAGTAAATTGCGTAATTTAAGAAAAGAAAGAATGAAGTTGAAGATAGAAGATTGCGTAATTAAAGTCACAATTTGAAGAATGTGACAGAATGGTTAAAGGTAATATTTACAAAAGTTATATAATGCTTTTATTTCTACTTTTCTAATTATAATACATATTTATATTATAGATTTTTTTTTATCAAGAAAGCTTGCCAATGTATAGAACAAGTTACGGACAAAAAGAGTAACATGTGATAGTTGAAAAATATAATATAACTAATCAATAAGCAAGTTATCTCCTCCATCTTACAAATTAAGTTTTAATTAGATTTTGTTTACGTTTTGTTTTAAGTTTTAGATTATCAATTTTAAGTTATGCATCTTACTATTTATTTTTATTTCAGAACTATTTATTATGTATTGGAAATGAATAATTTAAAATATATATTTTATTTCGGAAATTTTTTTTGTATTACAGGATTTTGTTTCCTACCAACACAAAAAATTTAAGTCCGTCGTAACATACTTAAATTTACTGTTTTTTTATTTAAAAATTTACTTAAATTTAAATATGTTAATTATCAACCGAATTAAAATTTAATTCTATCAAATTTAAATCTATTTTAAAACAGGCTTAAAAATCCAAAATAACAGTAAGTCTTTTTTGTAAATTTTGTTTGAAAAATATATTGATCCCTAATACGCACAGAAAAAACTTAATTGCTTGGCAAGTGTATTCTCATTTTTTTAACTTTTAAATAATTTATGAGGTTGATATCTATTGAAAATCATGTTTAAAACGTGATAATAAGATGTCCTTACAACCCAATTTTATAAATTGAATAACATTAAATTTAACTTTTTAATACTTTTAAGTAAATCGTATTATAAATATTAGTAAGAAGTGAAATTCGAGCGTGAGAGTAGAATTAATGGGTGGTCTGATAGTAGTCCGACAACGAGTGGATCCAACCATAGTTCTGATATCATGTTAAAGAAGTAAATTTTAAATGTAACTCAATCTCACAAAATCGGTTTGTATGATAAGATTTGTGTCACACTTATATATTATAATTTGACCTTATATCTAGTTAACGTGAAACTTTTAACAAGTATTATTTTTATGTGTTTGTGAGTAGATGTCCTTACAAGGGAAGGTTCTAGATGTTGTCTTAATGATTATTAAGACGAATTAAACACCACTATAAAGTAAGTAATGGTTAGGCTTATATTTTTGCTTTTGTTTTTTATTTTCACTCATAACCTCTCTTTTTTATATTCTTCTATTTTTATTTTATTCTTTGTTTTCCAATAATTGTAAAGAAAACAGTGAAATAAATTTTACTATTTATTTAAAAATAATATGTTACTATATCTTAAGATATGAATACAAGTGTTAAGAATCGTTTAAGTGTAATCTTAATTACTATTTATTTAAAAATATTAAGAATATTATGTTACCTCTATTCTGCACTCCACCTCTTTCCTTCCTTTAAAAGGCAATTGAAATTATTAGAATTGTATGAATGACGATTAATATATATATATTATTGGATTAATTTACTTCCTTAATTCAAAGTCAATTTGAACAATGCAAATTATTAATATTGATTTACTTTTAAAAATAAAGATATTACGTATATATTTGACTAAAAATATTACACTATATTAAAATATTATCTTTTTAAAATACATGATTTAAAATTACTTTTGGCATTTTATATTTTAGATGTCATTTTTTAAACAAAAATTACTCAAATTTTGTTTAGAATTACCTATATATATATATATATATATATATATATATATATATAGAAACATATTTACATATTAAAAATGACTTAATAAAAATACTTAATTAATTGTAAACTTCAATAAACAATTTTATAATTGACAAATAATCATTTAATATTTAAACATTAAAATTCATAAAAAAATTAGAACTGTCATGATCAATTGTATACAGATAGTAATTGTACTCCATGCAGACATTAAAGTATTTAGATAAATATTGTTTATGAAGATTGGTATTTGATGTCATGCGGCCATCCCATGAAAAGGCATAAATGCATCGACACGATAAATATATGATAGATAAGGTTAAAACATGTAGTGAAACTCATATACATCAAACCAAGCTTAATAATATTATATAGTTTCTTACATTCGTATATATTAAATAGAATTATTTATAACTTAACTCTTTAAACTTAAAAATATATTCTCTTAATAATAAATTGATGTAATAAAATGATTAAATATTTTTAGATGAAAATTGTCGTAATAATTTGACAAAGAATATTTTTGCAATCGATATAGTATGGGATGCGACTATTCGTATCCGCCACGTTGTGTGTTCCCATCCATAGTTGACATTCCCTGAAGCACCTCAAAGGACATTTTCGTCTCCATCTTTCGGCAGCGTTTGGCTTATCTTTATGCCCTAATTGATTCTCTCTCCATTCTCACACAACTAGCTATGCTTAGCAACTAACACACCACAAAAGTCCCTATCAAATCAATGGTATTCCCATGCCAAACACTGCACAACAACAACTCCTCCACCCTATATATAAATACTGAACTCCTTCAACCCTAATCACATCACAGACTATAACTGTTAGATGGATCGTGTGGCAAAGTTGGCATCACAGAAGGCGGTGGTGATCTTCAGCAAGAGTTCGTGCGGGATGTGCCATGCAATAAAGCGACTTTTCTACGAGCTTGGGGTGGCTCCGGCAATATACGAGGTGGACGAGGTTTCAAGAGGGAAGGAAATAGAATGGTGTCTGATGAAACTAGGATGCAACCCTTCTGTGCCTGCAGTCTTCATTGGAGGCAACTTTGTCGGTGCTGCTAACACTGTCATGACCCTTCATCTCAATGGCTCACTGAAGAAAATGCTCAGAGATGCTGGAGCATTGTGGCTCTAGAAAAACTAACTCCACATCATCATATCATCTCATCATCTCATGTCATATCATGCATGCATGCATATGCATGCATGCAAACAAAACAGCAACAGCAAAAAGCATGCGTTTTCAGAACCTGATTTAGATGCATGTATTATAATATAGCTTTTTGGGGTGGCAAAGATATTTGCATGTATGTCCTTCTTTTGTTATCTTTGAGGAAAAGATAAAGGTATTAAGTACTAAAGATTGTGCTTAAATCACTTTCTTTTTCTCATGCACACTGCTGCTTTTAGAATATACCTACTTAATACTGGTTATTTTAATTAATCAAAAAATAAATATTTTTAATTAATCAAATAACTAAGTCAGATTAAATTTAAAATAACAACCGTAGTATAATCCAAAAATCTATATGCGAGGGAATTACTTAATATAATGTAAACCTTGTAAATAAGTTCTAAAATTGTTTAGAAAGTTACATTCTAGGGTTGTGTAAAGAACCTGTTTTCTACATTAATTAAAAGTAATATAAGTACTTTAATTAATTTTTAAAAATTATCAACTGCGTTATACCATTTGCAATACACTCTAAACCGGAATTGGTATTTGTAAATCTTGATTTCCAGTTCTTTTGTTTGCAAATTAACATAGATAATACATGAAATAAATAAAGAAGGATAAATGAAACAATGATAAAGTTAAAAATTATTTTTCAAAATTATAAAAAATAATTTGAGAAAAAATTGAGATTTGAACAGTAAAAAAATACATGAAAAATAATTGAAAGTACAAATAATATTTAAAAAGGTTTGTGCAAATGTGGATGGCAATACGTCATTCTACTGGACTTCCTGGATCATCGGTTAATTTGATAAAATTCGTCACCATTACTTTTTTTATTTTATTTTCTCTGTAGCTTGACAAATATGCATACGTATGTATTGGTCAAACTTAAGTTCTACTTTGATCTCTGCAGCATTTCAGAATAGTAATTTACTACACAACTAATTCTACTTTTTTATGGATGTTGACATACAAAGAAGATTAATTGTTTGATACACAAGCATCAACACCTAAATTTTCTCGAATAATTAAACTGTTTTGAAAAATAATAAAATTCAAAAGACACTAAAATAGACAAAATTTTATTTTGTTTTATTTTTTTGAAAAGTAACTTTTATAACCAAAATAAGTTTTTATTTAAATAAACTACAAAACACAAAATAGTTTTTATAAAATTAATGTTTTAACTAATTTAATAATGTTAAATATTAAAAACATTATAAACTAATAAAAATAAGAAAATGAATTTCATAATAAAATAGGTTTTTATTTAAAATTCAAATATATATAATGTTATGTTATAATTCTATTGCTGGTTTGCTGGTTGTTATGTTATGTTAACACTTCAAGCAAGAGGTTTGCTGGTTGTTAATGCATATAATGTTATAATTCTATTGAAATTAGTTTTTATTTATTTTAAAAATAATTTTTTCATTAAAAAATAGTTAAATTTTTTTTCTCTAAATAAATCTTATAATTATAATGTTAGATATTTTACCACGACAACTCCTTAAATTTGAAGAACTATATCTTGAAGAAGAGAAAACATCATTAAAACATTATCAGTTAACATTATGATTATTATTATGTAAATATTTTTATATGGATAACTATAATAAAAATCATCTTTGCCGTAACTATTAAAGTAACTTTAATAAAAATTAATAAATTTAATATATCTAACTAGTAATTACTAATATTTAAAAAATTAGTAATATTTTTTGTTGTTGTGATAATAAATATAGTTCAATCAAGTCAAGCCTCTCAAATTTAAAAGTATCATGTTTTTCATCTTGATTGGTAAGTGCTTTTATGTTTATGGTATGATAAGATTGTATTGCCTATGATTGTATTATAAAACCTTTTGACATGATTGGTGAGATATATATGATCATAATAATGTAAGGTTTTGTGAGATAATTGAAAATTGTGATATTAATTATTAGTATATAGAGAGAGAAACTAAAGGTGATGATGAGATAAAGGAGAATAAAGAGAAGTTTTGTGTTAGAAAAGCTAATAAGATTGAGTGATGGAATAAATTCCAAATTATCTAATAATAATAGCAATATCCGAAAAGTTAATTATACCATTCATGCACACTGTTACATATTTATTATTGTGCCTTCATCCTCGAATTTTAATTCATCATCTTCATAAAATTCATCAATGTTGGGTCAACATCTCATTCCTTTTATATTATTCGACCATAATTATAACAAATAACATTGTTCAATCAATCTTATAGTGAGGATGTTTGAGCTTAACATTTTTTTTTCTCAACAAGGAAAAAAAAGTATATATTAAAAAAGAAAATTCTGTCTTTTGGTAACTATCTTTTTAAAAACTATATAACTACTCATAAAAAAAATAACTAGACAAAGTATTTATAATAAAAATATAAAAATTAATTATTGTTATAATTATTTTTTATAAAAATCAATTTAATAACATTTTTATTTTAATAATTATTATAATAATATACTCTTTTTTTTTGCTGTAATGAAGTAAAATGGTAAAGTAATTTATTTTACTTTAGAAATTGGTTAACTTTAAATAAACAGTACCTTAAATGTAATAATAATGGTAAAAATTTGTATACACAAAAAAAATAACCATCTTTTATTAATTTATAACTATTAATAAAGGGAATTCACTCTTATATTTGTTTAGTTACCCACCATAAGCAATTGTCATACTACCAAAAGAATTTTACAAACCAAAAAATTAATGCGTCATAAAATAAAATTTATCAACAAATTATAAAATTTTAATTACCACCATAAAGATTTGTTATAATAATAAACCTATCAATAAAATATGTAAAAAATTTAGTTGGTAATTTAAAATTTTCATAATCGAGTCAAAACAGTGTTATCATACACACACACACATATATATATATATTAGTAATGTATGATATAAAAAAATTAGTAATTTACTATTTTCTAAAGTTATAATTATTAATTACAAAATTCATGGTTAATTAAGTATTTCTGAAACACTATTATTTAATTTTTTGTAATTATTAAGTAAATTTGGTTTTGTATAAACATGTGTTAATGTCTTCACCCGTAACTCTAGTTTCAAAGTTCATTAGAAATCATAAAACAATGACAAAACATGACAAAAGCAACAAAATGGTGCAATTTTTACTTCAAAGTTATTAAAATGATGTAGTTTGAAAATTATATCAATTTAGTAAAATTTTAATTTAGTACGATTTTAATTTAGTAAGATTTTATTTTAGTATGATTTTATTTTGAAGAAATAATGTTAACTTAGTAAAGTTTGAATTAAAAATAAAATTACAATGAGTTGAAATCGTATCAACTTAACATAACTTTCATTTATATAATTGAAGTTGTGTCAATTTATATCATAATACATTAAAGTTACATCAATCTGAAATAATTTCAATTAAAATTAAAATAAAAAATTACAACAAACTAAAATGGATCAAGATTTTTTTAAAAATGAAATCATAACAAGTTTACACAATTTCAAAATTACACAATTTTAGTAATTTAGCCGACAAAACATACTAGACTACGATAAAACAAAAGAGAAAGAAATGTACTTATATTTATACTAAAATAACTTTTCAAAGGTAAAGAACAATTGAAGTTGAACAATTGTTCACTATGTATGATGAGAAATGACCTTGTATTTACACGGCTACTTAACAATTATAAGGTAATAAATAATAAAGAGTAAACAAAAATATTTATATTACATATATAAATACTCACATGTAAAATATAAAAAAGTATATAATAAAATTATTAAAATAGTTTTTTATTCTAAAATATTGAATCGCGTTTTTAATTCATGAATATGTTACCCACCCAATTTTAATTGGGCCAAATAATAAAATTCAAACCAGCTTAATAGTTTACCCCAACTCCATATAGTGCAATTTGGTTTTGTTAAGTTGACCCATTTACGTTCCTGTATTAAATTTATTTTTAAAAACGAAAATGATTTTTTAAAATATTTCTGTTGAAATAAATTTTCAACTAAATAAATAAACTGGAAAGAACACCCAATTAATTTTTTTTTTGTAACGTATAGTGAAAGTACTGTGAGTTAAAATTTAGAGGCAAATAAAAGTACTATAATTTGAAAAAATTAAGCCTTGAAAATAATAAAATATAAGTAATTTAAAAAAAAAATCTTCAAAGTAAACATTGGTAATTTACATATGTATATACATTAAGTATATTGGACGTAATTTTTTGATATTTTTTATGTCTTTAATTTTAATAATGTTAATTTTAGTTACATTTTGTATAAGTTCTTTGAATTTAAATCTAATCTTTAGTATCTTACATATTTTATTATTTATATAAGTTTATTACTAGCAAGAAATACAAATTTTGAGACATTATTAAAAATCCATTTTTTTCCGATTCCCCATTGATTCTCTAGAGTCATGCTTGTAGATTCTTTTATTGGTTATGGATTTTGATCATGTTTCGAGAAGAACTTAAATTAGAGGTGATAATGCTTATTAATTCATCTCATTTTGATTTATTTTGTATTTGATCCACAAAAAATGTATTGTATTGACTCATTCTGCATAAGAAATATAAACTAATTTCTAATTTTATTATTTTGAATTAACAAGTATAATACATTATGTTCAAAGAATAACAAAACCGTAGTTTAAATGTAACTAATAAAATATTAATTTAAAATAAAATAACAATTATACTTTTTAAATGAATCTTAAATTTTTCTCCTTGTAACTATTAATTTTTTTTAATAAAATTAAGAGTACTATTAATTATAAAGGTTAAGTTCAAAAATTTACCTAAATACTTAATAAATAACCTTTCTTGCAAATCACCGTGTTGTATCATGGAATATTTGTCTTTTCAATAATATTAAAATATATAATTCCTTTACAGATTAAATTTATATAAACAAGGTGCAAGTTATACAAAGTACACTTCTCACGTCATCATATCTAACTTTGTAATTAGTTATGGATGCATAGCTAACTTCTTGAATTAGTAAGATTTAATATCATGTAATGATTAAATATATTATTTTTTCTTTATAATTATGCAAATGTGTAATTTGAGTTTTATAAAGAAATCAATTATATATGACATTTCTACTTCATTGATATTAATATTACAAATCAATAATGAAAATTTATTAATAAACATATTTTAATAATTTTGAA